AAACATTCGTATATTATGCCTAAAGACCACCTGTTCAAAAATTGACAATTGTTTAAGTCCTCAACCCTTTGTCTTTTCCAAGATGGCTGCTCACCCTTCCCATGCTGTAATATTAGCCTTTTAATTGTCAAAAGAGTGCAGATAATACACTGATCTTGTGTTAGGTTCCAAGTAGCAAGTAGATCGGTGAGAGGAACATGCGCATTGCTAAATATTCAGGAGTTTTCCATCACAGAATTTATCTGTATTATCATCTCCTCCTCCAAAGAGGCAGTCATGAGGCAGTGCCAGATCATCTGGGTGAGAGAGGTATGCATTCCGCCATTAGCCGATTTCACAAACCCATTAAGAAAATCATGGCATCCATGATACCCGGGCATGTGTGGAACTGGATGCATGCCAAGATCCGCTGACCCTTCCGAGGCTGACGGCAGCACAACAATCTACTGCTTGGGACGCTCCAATCTGCCGTTTGGGTTTTTTTCAAGACCAAGTTAGAGTGCAGAGAAGCCACATTTTCTGGAAACGCTGTGGCACTTGATATCAGAGCTCAGGAGCCTAAATGTCTGTTAACATGTTGACAAAAATTTCTGAGAGGAAAAGCCGGTTCATGGAGACCCCTCCTCTGAGGTTCTCCCTGGGAATACCTGGGATGTGTAACCCTGAGCCCCCTTGACCTATGCCATGCCTCTCTGTCCGTGACCAGCAGAGGACATCTCGAAACATCATCCCAGTGAAGGGGCGCTCAGTGGTAATAAAAAAATACCACTTTTATTGTTGCTTGTTGTCATTGCTAGTCGCGAAGTCGTGTTTGGCCCATCGCGACCCCACGGACAACACTCCTCCAGGCCTTCCTGTCCTCCACCATCCCCGGAGTCCACCCAAGCTCACGCCGACTGCTTCCGTGAATCCATCCAGCCACCTCAACCTCTGCCGTCCCCTCCTCCTTTTGCCGTCAAGCTCATGGCTTAGGACTGCCCTTTCATGATGCACTGGACTGTATATTTCTCTTGCCTCAGAAATCTCCGATAGTTCTTTCCCCCCATATCATTCCATCTTTAGCAGGATTTGCAGAGTGGGAGAAACCTTTAGGTCCCTGGTTCTGTCCCATGGCTGGAGGCACAGAAGTATCCAGGGGTCACTCCAACCTCGCCACACTGCATCCAGGCCAACGAAGCCCTTTCCGTGGATGTCTGAAGCCCCAGCCGCACATCTCTGAAAACTCCAGAGCCCTGGAATACATTTCTCAATTTCTCCTAGGCAGAATGCATCAGCTTGTTTACCCAAAAACTGTCAAGGCCCCCAAGCAAGTAGATATGAATAAATCTTTTTTAATTCAACAAGCACACCCTTTTGGACAATTCAGACATATTTTTGAGTTATTTATTTAAAATTACGAGGCAGGAGAGATTCGTCATTTTGAACCAGTGTTTGTCAGAGGTACATAAACATTCCCTCACACGGCCCTAAATTACTAGAAAACATTGCAACCGATTTTCAGCTGGCACTGAAAATCGCTTGTTTTGCTATAAAGCACATTGCTGTTTATGTCTCTGTTTATGTGATGCCTTCTGCAGATGCAGGCAACGGAAGACGGGCACTTTCTCTACCCACGTTTCCGGATCATATTCAAGGCATTTTCGTCAACACAGAGAAAGAAACACACACCTCTGTGTACAAGCCTGCTTCCTCTGCTCGCTTCGTCCACTATTCTTCTGGGAAGTGTTCCTCTGTCTCTTAATCCGTCTATGTGTTATTTAGCTCTAGGTGGGCGCTTGCCTTTCACAGAAGAAATGGCTACTGCTAGAGTGTCTAGAAATGCAAACAGTCAATGCTGAGAAGTGATCCATCGAACTTCTGTTCACTTATTTGTTTGTACTTTGACTGTGAAACTTACAACTGACAAATGTCCCCCAAGTTATCAAGTAGAAGGTGGCCCGGTGGCTCGTGTGCCCCATAACGAGTGCGTCGCAGGGCTCCTCAGCAGCTCTCATTTTTCACTTGTGACCCTTCCACAGGGAGAGGTTTACTCCCAGCTCAGAGTTCGGTGAAATTTGTCTTCCTCTCGGCAGATCCCTTTCCTGTGTTGTGCAAGAAGTCAGTGGGTGAAAAGAAGCTGTGGAAATATTACGCAATGCCTGCTCGGTGGAGGGCCTCTCAGGTGCTTCCTTGCCAGAGAAGAGTGCTGGTCGGAGCCATCGGCCAAGAGCCTGGCGGGACTGGCCCGGGGAGACCGGCAGCAAGAAGCAAGGGGGCTGTGGGGCACAGCGGACACCTGGAGGGGTCACGCCGCAGGTGACATCTAGAGGAACCTGGGGGAAGCCCTGGAACCACCCCCGGGGAGGCCAGAACTTCCGTGGGAAAGCTTATGATGCGGCCTCTGACTGCCGGGACTGGCCATTCCGACGCTCGGAGACGGCCTTTCCCAGGCTGCCTGCCCAGGATCAAGCCCACACATTGCTTTGTGTTCCCCGGTCGTCTTTCCCCCTGGCTGCACTCAGCACAAATGCTGGCCAGAGGTGTGCAGATGGGGCCATCTTGCTGCAGAATGTCTGTAGGTTCATTCCCTCGGGGACCTGGTGCGTCAAGGGCCCTCTCCTCTCATGGGAGCCTGCTGTGCCTTGAGGCCTGGGGCATCTCCTGGCTAGCACAACTGGCGGAATATTATGATGGCTCGATTCGTAATAATGCCTATATTTCTGCACACACACAGTGGAGTTTCTCTTGCCTGCAGGGGAGGTCGATGCTGCGGCAGCCGGAGGATCGGCAAACGAGGCAGGCCATGGTGAGAGCGGTGCTGAGAGGGACCCCTTCGCAGGCCGTGGCCGAGGAACGGGCTTCGGGCGGGGGTCCCGTGCCTGACCGGTCCTTTGACGGGAGGTGGCGCTGCAGCACCAGCCTGCGCTACTGAGGTGGCACGGCCAGGTGGGACGCACAGCAAGGTGCCGGCACTGCGGCAAAGAGCGGGAGCTGCATGGC